GCTTTGTACTCGTGATGGTGCAATGACAATAAAGTTGAATTCTATTCTATTCTATTTCGGGGCATCAAAGGGGAGGGAATACAAAAGCATAAACATCTTTTTCAGATTTTCTTTCCTTTTTAAGCATATGCTGCCCCCCCAAACACAACAAGAAAATACACTGCAGTTTTTTTTGTGATAGAAAGGTGTTAAGAAAAAAAGAAAAGGAAGTATGAATATTTCTTTGAAGCAATGAGTTCAGGAAGAAAAAAAAAATAAAGAAGGATGTTTTTTTTCACACATTTAAAAAAAAACTGCTTCCTTTGTCCTCCATATTTGGCAGAGAGGGCTGATGACAGATTCAGATGCAAACCAGCAGTGCAGAGTCCACCTGCTGTCATGTTATGACACCTCCCACAGTAACCGTCATACTTTACCTGCACGCTGACCGCCACACAAAAAAAAGGCAACGAGCTTTTATTTTGAACAAAAATCATCAGTCTGTAGCGCCACAGTAGCCATGCAAGCATTGCAAACTGTCACAGCGTCTTCCTCCACATCAGAAGGGAAAAGGTAGCATCTCGACCCTCTGGAGAAAACAGCTGCGTTCAATAAACCTTCCCTGTGAGTCTCGTATGCTTAAATGCTCCTGCCGATCAAACTGACAGGCGCTGGAACAATCGGGCTTCTTTCAAGGGATCCATCTAAAAGTTAATGTTAAAAAGCTTGGTTCAAAATGATTAGAAAAGTAGGAAATGCTTGGTGGTAAGAGAGTACAAAAAAAGCTTGTCGGATTCAAAGATGGGACCTTAACTCATTCTGAATGTTTCAGGAAGTCACTGGAAAAAAGGATTTTCTCTTAAACTGGACCAAAAGTGAAAAAAAAAAATCTGTTTTATGCATCTTTTGTTTAAATATTACAATAAAGTCTTTTTGGATAAACCTGCTCTGATTAACCAGAAATAATGTGGAGCTGTTCTGTGAGCGTTATCCTGATATTTCATTATTTTATCATTTAGCTAAACTCATGGTTTGTAGAGTTAAATAGGTCTACCAGGATCAGGAACAGAACGTTTCTTCAAAATTGACGAAAAGACAAACTAGAAAACAGGACAGGGAGGCAAACAATACCTCCAATATTGTTTCACTATATTAGAGATACTTTAAAATACTCTAAAACCTGGTGGTGGGGGGGGATATGTGTTGTGGCCTGATGAAGAAACGAGATTTCTTTGACTTAAAAAAAAAAAAAAATCTAAACTGGATATAAGCAAATTAGCACCCCGTCCACTATGAGGCATGGCGGTGGTTGCATCATGCTGTGGTTTTTTTTTCTAAGTTTTTAAGCCAGGCTGGGTTAAATTATGAGCAGCTCCAAATAAATCTGTTTTGACCCCAAATCTCTAAACTCATCCTGAAAACAGATTCAGTCTTTTAGCGTCACAGTGGGTCCAAACATACATCCAATAATAAAAACAAAATGGCTTCACCTAGCTTTGGAAAGGGACTCGCTTCCATTAACCACTGGATCTGGCAGAGAATCGGTGGAATCACCTGACCTGTCCTCTGATTTACAGCACTTTTACAATTATTGCCAGTATAAAACAGACTTTTACTCTAAAATGAATGAGGTTTTTGACTCAGATGTTTCAAGGAAGTATTTAATCCAAGGGTGTTCACATTTCTGCAGCCACTTCCCTTTTTAAAACCCCCTAAAAACTTTAGCTGGCTGATAGTTGCCTTTTGTAAATCTCCTTCTTTTTCTGTCTGCTTCTGTCTCCTTGAACCCCAGTCGGCCTCAGCAGATGGCCGCTCACACTGAGCCTGGTTCTGCTGGAGGTTACTTCCAGTTAAAAGGGAGTTTTTCCTCTCCGCTGTCGCCACAAGCATGCTTAGTGTGAAGGATTACCTTTGAGTCGATGAGTCGGTGCAATAAACTGGTTTTCCTTAGATAGAAAACTTTGAATTAATTTGACTGTATCAACTGCTGAACTGTAAAGTGCCTTGAGGTGACATGCGTTGTGAATTGGTGCCATAGAAATAAACTGAATTGAAAAAAAGACTGAATTATATCATATTTTTCCAAAAACAAGAATAAAAATTGGTCATTTTAACAGAGGTGTAGACTAGCTGCTGTGTTTTCCAAATAAGCGTGTGAATGAGTGTCTGATTGGTGTAAGAACTCCCAGGCTGATCCTAATCTAAGTCCCGTGATCCAACTGTTGTTCTGCTTCAACGGTTCGAGGAAAAACAAAAAAAAAAAAGAGCAGCAGAAGTCTGGGAGAGATTAACGGAAAAAACACCTCATTCAGAACAGAAAGAAAGAAAAAAAAATCTGTTAACACCAACAGTTCCAAACAAGCTGTGGTTTACACCTGCCTCCATCTGACTCATATGAGACTTATCACATTGCTTTAAACAAAAGGCAGAATCTAGAGAGCTTAATGTTCCAAAAGATGGGTTACAACAAAACCAAGATGTTTGGCTACATCAGCATAAACAATATAGGTTATCTAAATCATACATTTTTTGATAAATAACTAAAATCCAGCACTTCATGTTAGTGGTATCGTGTTAAAAAAATACCATCTGGACCAGCTTCCTAACTAAACTACTGCCTGTAATGCTAGGAACACTAACATACCATAAAACTGTAGAAGGAAAATGGCATGATGGTGTCCATTTACTTT